ATTCATTATGTGGCTAAAATCAATTCACAATCAAAATTCATTCAATGAAAGGAAATTAAAATGAAGTTTTTTTGTTTACTGGTAGATTCACAAAAAATGTTTAAGAAAAACTGGTACATTCACAACTTTTGACAGTTTTTAAGAATCAATGCTGATCTTACCGATGAGGCAACAGCTGTATCACTGACTGATGCGGTTGATACATGCAACGGAAAGATTCTACGTCGATAAGAACTACACGCTGATGTACTGTTGGTGTTCGTTTTATTTGTACATTTTGGGAAACCGCTTAGTTCATTCTTCTCAGGAAGCGATAGAAGACGATTGCGATGATTCGCTTGCCACCTGAATATTAGAAAGTATTGGTATTGGTGCATCATTTCCTCGATTCAGTCAGCCTAGTTGGGTGATCAACATGCTTTATATCCAAAACGTCACCATTCGAGGGTTAATCAACGAAACAACTGCAACGAGAATTCAGCGATATTTGCAGAGCAATAGAAAGATAGAATAGATCAACTGCAATTTATTCTTTATTATCTGGCTCCATGGATGATTCTTCTATCGAAAATTCTTAGAAAGTTTTGCTCCTCGGAGCAAAATGAAAGTTGTAAGAAAATTTGAATATTTATGAATGGATCAAGCAGCACTTGCAGTGTTGTCAACTCTCACAAATACCACAGCAAAATGAAGCATTGAACAAGATGAGAACGAAATGCTATAAAACGAAAAATAAATTCAACAGCAGCATTCATAGTTCCAGCTCACAAAATAGTTGCCTATATATAATGGGATATATATATATATACAACTGATTCAATTCCCGCTTCGAACAGAACAAATTCATTGAGGATGATGCATGTGCTTAGTATGAAGAACAAGCAAATGGACAAGTTATATTACCTTGAAGAATGGATGACTCAACAAGAATATTTTGTAAGTAATTTCAACACACCAAATCAAATAACCGGTTTCGTTAACCGTTCATTCTCTTTGAACAACACTATTGCTGCCATACGACTAGCCGTTAGAAAGCGTCGAAAAAGTGCGATAGTCAGAAAGTTTCCACCTTCTAAAACATATGATGTAGATAGTGAAACCTAGAGATACATCATAGCTTTGACTACGTTTAGTTACATTCAACTATTCGAGAAAATTTGATAGAGAAGAAGGCACATTTGAATGCACTTACTTATTTCGAACAAATTCTTCATTGGTCTCTCAAAACGTTTTCACTTTCATTACGAGAATTTGAAATATTGCCATCCTGGGCGATGATGCACTAGAAATTGTACGCGAAGCACGTGATAATAACACCAAAATCAAGCGAAAGTTTCATTTATGAAGAGTCGCAAGTGTGTGAAATTCCTACTTTGAAATTAATTATAAAGAACAAATTTCTCTTTCGCATGAAAATGAAACTTTTTCGTTGCTCACTACGAGAATTTTAAAATCTGCGCCAGAACTCACTTCAAAACAGAAATCATTCAAGAACGCAAAAAATCAACCAAAACAAATACGAAATTTTCGATAGATTTGCCGAGTTACACATCCATACACAAACACACATACTCATATTCACGTTGGATCGTGATTGATTTTAGCAGTAACAAAAATATTGCGATCGTTGAATGAAGTCGAAAAAAAAACTGAATGAAAATTCACTGAAAGTATTTCAGAGTGAAAACCAGATATTGAGCTGAATTTGCAATATGTTCCAACAATATAGTACCATCTTCAGTACATATTCCACGACAACGTTACCAACAAGCAATCTTAAGCTTTGTTTTTCTTTTTCTGCATTCATCCATCGTCTCCTCATATTGTCAGTAACTTATCGCATACGTAACACTCAAACAACGTAACCAATAATCATCATTTGTAGTCTTCTATGAAACTGTGTTGCTCTTACTCTTTCTTTCGTTTATAATCGGTTCAAATCACTTCGAAGAGCGAAAATTTTCAACAACAACAACAACAACAATAACAACAGAAAGCAACAAAAAAATACGTCCTTCAGAAAGAGCGACAATGAATTTCAACTTGTTTAATTCCTTTTTTCCCACTCACTTCTACTTGTTTATGTCGTCTTCAGCACTATTAAAAGGAAGACGATCACTGAAAATGTATAATATTAAGGAAGAGAAGAACGAATAGAAAAGTTTATTTCAACAAACGAAATATACATATGGTCTTTTTAATATCTAACCCAGTAAGTAAGGCTATAGAACTGATCCATCAATCCATTCACTCCATTGAATTGTTTGAATCCATTTCAAAACACATCATCATCATTAAATGAAATAGACCTCTTTAGCTGTTCGATCACGGAAACAATTTTCATTGAATCAGAATTATGTGATACTATGCAGTCCAACCAACTTCATTCACACATACAGGTTTCATATTGTGAACAATGACGACGGTTTATTTATTGTTCATGATCAGAAGGATGGATGGATGGATGGATGGATGTATGGATTAATGATGGATAAGTGTATAAATATTACGAGAGCAATATGTTTGCGATGGCCGCCTGTTAGTAGTAACAGTGCCTGAATGTTTACTGTTGAATGAAGGAACATTTTCGTCACAATAATTAGAATGCAAATTTTACGTTTTTGACCTTGCCAATAATCCCATCGTATAACAATCATATAGCAACAGCAATGGCATCAGCATCACCCTCAATCGCACGGACAGAATAAATACACATAAGTATGATAAACAGCAGTGCATATACGATTAAGTAGGTGAAAATAAAAACATCATGTGGCACCTTCATGAAAACAAATTTCATCGCTTACTATTACATTTCATTTTGAAACCTTTCTCCTGGAAATGCAACGCACATTTCTCAGCAAAATCAATCAAAACCTTGTCAATTATTTGGTAACTTTTTTGAATAAACAAATAATCTCATGGAGTAGGGTTGAGTCGAGATTTCGCATGTATGCACGGGATTTCTGAAACTTCCCACCCTGTCTCCTAACTCCGAGTGCTCGCTAGCGTCCACATGGTCTCCGGGGCTTTCAATCCTACCCCCGCCTTCAAGATCGATTTCGCTTCCGACCCAACCCGAATACAATTATCACGCTTTTTATTATTGAACTATTTCCCACTTTCTTATTGCATATGCTATAAATATAGTTTGCGATTTTATATTTGCTATTAATACATTGGAACCTCGGTTTACAAACACAATTCGCTGCAACAATCTGTTCGCAGCCTAGACTGATCATAAGCCGAAACAAGTTTTGCCATAGCAATGAAGGGTAATGCATTTCTTGATCGTCCTTACTGACGTTTCCAACACTACTGCACAAAAACAACAGTCTCTGGCTTTTGATTCTGCTTGACAGTATGACGAAAAACTCAATGAGTTCAGTCCGAAGTGGTCACAAACCGAAATAAGTTTCTATCGAACGTTTTATGCATGACTCCAATTGTTCTCAATCGACGATTCACTATAATAGGCTGACATTGTTTTAGAAAAATTCGAAGTGCGACTTAGAAACAAATAAGTTTTATTCTTGTAGAATGGAAACTTCCCAATTCGTGATTGTCGTTATTATTACTGTTACACTTGCTGAGTAACATTTCTTAGCACATGCAGAAGCCACTCAAACATCACCGAGTAAGAAATGAAGATGTGCAGTGTGTGAAGAAGTACAAGAATCTTGCTTAACACAGTATAACAAATAAGAGGTAACGTTTAGGGGTCAAACCCTACCTCCTAACTTTACGGGTTCTCGACTTCGATGTATGCCGAACATCTACAAGATTTCTGGCACCACTGGATCGATCAACCCTATTATGGAGCGATCGTGAATATCACCGTAAGGATAAGTCACCGTAAGATCATAAGGATAAGTGAATGAACAAATAGTCAATAACTTACTGTTGATTAGCATTTGATGATGATGTGTGAACAGAGTTGAGGTGAATATTTTGAGGTGTTTGATCTGATGATGAAGGAGGTTTATTCATTCTAACTCTTCTTCTATCAATAACATTATCATTAGTAACACTTTTGTTATTTTTACTCGAATCATCAACGCTAAGCGATGGTTGTTTCGTTGGATTCATTACCCTGAAACAGAGCATCGCTATCGTCGCGCATTTGATGGCCAACGTTCAAATTAGACGACAATATCACGTTGTGTTTGCAATAAGTGTTAGTGAAGATTAGGTGAACGAAACAAAATTGATATTACTGCAAATAAAATTACCGTAAACACCCAACATTAAAAAATAGCACATTATAGACGTGTTCTGTATATAATTTGCGGTAATCAGTCGTCCATCTATTTATCAATTTGACGCATGTTTCGTTCTGATTCAGTTATATCTACATATTTATATGTTTATGATGACTGTTATCGCCGTTTGTGATAGAATGATGGCGTTTCATAGAAAAATCGCTGATTTAAAACATGCCTATCACCATCAATTTTTCTTTATTTTAATGCAACAAGCAATCTTTTCAATATTTCATTTTAATCACACATAAAAGTGAACGAGCAGCAAACCTAACCCGTATTCAATCAACCTTTAACAAATTCTCTTCTTTCCTCTATTTTGAATTGTTCACGATAACCGCACGTACAATCTACAAAGTTGGGAAAAATGATTTTTTTCTATTCGAAAGATGATGAAGACGTTTTGAAGCTCAATTTTCAAGTGCACACGACTGAACGGATGAAAAGAATTAATCGCATGATTGTGACAAACTGTTGGAGAAACTCAAGAATTTTACATATAACAATTGTTATGAACGAGATTTTACGCAAATGCTTATTGAAATAGTACTTCTCATTAAAAGCAACTTCAGTTTTGGAAGTGTACGATGAAATGATCCATTCTTCATTGCGGAGAAGCGTCAGGTTACAATTTTAGAAACAAATCAGCAACATTTCGATGATGAACTGCATTCGAAGACGATCACATCGGAATAGGCTGTTATATATGATATATCGGCATTACTTTGCCTTGTTGCAAAGCAGTTGATCTATAGCAGCATGTTTCACTGTGGACAATACAATGGACGAACGCAATAAACGTCTTAAAATTATCGGAATGTTCTTCTTTGTCATCAAAGATTCTGTTTACACTTGGAAACATAGTGGGGGGGGGGGGGGGGGGGNGGGGGAGAGAGAGAGAGAGGCAATTTGGCTGCGATTTTAGAATTAGCCCAGGTGGGTGATTGGCCGGAAAAGGTTCACACTCACTGACCTATAGCAACAAATTTTTAATTCGCTCAGACTTTGTCCCATGTGGACGTTTACAAGTTTGATTCGAGTATTACCATTGCTCGCAATACTATCGGTCTAAGACTGTTTCAATGAATATCAAACTAAACAATGTAAACTGACAAGTTAAACCATTTTCACCAACTGTATCCACGAATACACACAAAAAACTGGTCACATTTGTCATTACCGGCTTCAGTGAGAATGGAAACGCAGTCAGAATGATTTCAAAGTCCATTGAAAATACTACTTTGACAGTAATGATTTTGGTTTTCGGTCATTATTTAAATGTTTTGCGATATTTCTCTCGATAATGATGCTACAGAATTTTAATTGATTGAGAACTCATCAACGAAACGCGTTGTTGTTCTCTGACAATTTGACGGTTAGCAAAGTGGAAGTGCACATTCGCATTCTTTTAGATGAGAGTCTTTTTTGACTTCTTTTGATAAATTAGTTTGCGAAACAAAACAGCGAAGGCACAAATATAATATGAAGAGATGATTTTAAATAAGACGTTTTTACTTAACGGTTGCAAAACCAAAAACACAACTAAATAAAAATGATTATATAGATGGACATAAGATACAGAAAGAGATTCATTCACTCACGAAAACATATAATTACTGATACAAATAGCGTGACTTTGAGCTATGATGAGCCAGTATTATTCTATGATGACCTTTTGCACTTTTCATTCGAGTTACCCCGCCTCCAGCCTCCCCCCCCCCTTAAACTTCCTCTCTTACCTTAGTCTTTGTAGTATTGTTCTCAGAAACACCCATAAGCCAATGCACAGCAGCATTTAGTATATGGACGTAACATATATACGCTATCTACATGTCCATAACTTAACACAAAGAATATTAGAAAAACAAAAAACATTCACATAGTGATTGAACGAGAAAACGGTTACTTTAGATCTTAGGCACACCAAAATGAAGCGAGAAAATTGCACATTGGAAAGAAATTTTGAAAACATACAGGTACTACGGTTCAAGACTGCCATTTCATATATTATTGTACGGTGTAACGAATTCACACCATCGTCATGCATTCATTTCTCAATTATCTAAAGTAACCGTTTTCTCAATTAGTATTGCATTTTCGTTGTTGTAAAATTTTTTTCGTAGCAAAACATTGTAATATGTGATATAGTTTACCACCACGGAACGGTTCTTTTCACACCAACACATACTTATTTATGTACAATGAGCCTTTGACCGTAATAAAGTACTTATGCTATCACGATTATTATTATTATCATTTATTATTATTACTATCATTATTATTCGTTGCTATTATTACTTTCACTATTATTATCACTGCTGTTACACTCCTTTCGAATAAAATTATTCCTGCAGTGTATGTGTCACGACGGGAAAGAATCACTTTCATAGTAAATCGCAAAAATAATTCTGCTGTATACAATATGTACAAATTCATTACACTCAATAATATAAAAATAAGCAATCATTTATAAATTCCTTGCACAAAATCATTACTTACAATTTAAGAAGTGAGAGCAAATGGTCATCGACCTATTATGATGAATGACGAAAAAACATGTTTTTTTCGAATGGATGAAAATAGGTAAAAGTTGATATCAAAATGAAAATTAACACGATGTTAATGCACGTGACTGGACTTTTGACCTAATGGCGTTTGGCCTAACGACATTTAGCCTAATGGATATGGAACGGATAGGCTTGAATGATAGACCTTTGACGGCAACCAAGATTATCATTTTTGTGCATTTACCAGCTTTCCGAGTCCTTAAACTACTTCCGGAGTAAGCTTCTAAAGAAATGCTTCTCGAGAGAGCACATGCTAGCTTACCTTTCGCAGTTATGAGGAAAAGTATGAAAATGTCAATCGGCGGTTTATTGGTTAGAACCTAATTTTGATCAATGCCACGATGATCAACAATGCTTACTTTCTATTGGAAGATTACGGAATAAACAATCCCGCGAAGTTCCGAAAGCAGAGTCAAGAGATTCGGACAACTCATCAACGCTTGGGCCAATACTCACGGACGCTCATTAGGCCAAACGTGCATTAGGCCAAATGACCTACTAGCGTCATGCAATATTCAAAGTTTTCCTTCTGATCAGTTGTCTCTGAAATCAATGAATATTGGCGTATGAATAAAATCGGCCATTTGAGGATCGTGTTCGACATCCGCTTCGATGGGAAATGATAAAACGATCGATTTGAGCGCTTCTTCGATCGCAAAATCAGTGACACGAATTTGGAGATTAGCTAATGCTGGAAATGCTTGCACCAGTCCGGGTGGAAACCCTTTGTGCACATCTATTGAACCGTCGTCGCCAACCGCAGTTTGATGATCATCCAATAAAACAATTAACTAAAATTAAATCGGTGAGAAATATTGCAATAAAGTTTTTTCATACATAAGAAGTTCAGTGAAATTTTACGTCCTTATAAGTATGCTAAACTCGTAAACGAATTCAGTGAAATAACAGAAATGAAAAATTTATGGCTGTTCATTTCGAACCATCAGCATCGCTTTTTGCTCTTGTTCATTGTTATTTGCAGAACAATCTGACGATTGTGTGAAGTGAGACACGTGAACAGTGGTTTGTGCACGAGGTTTTGGCAGGCGACGCCAATGGAACAGCTCACGATGCCTCTTTGAATCGCTCTCCATCTCAGCACCACAATAGGCGCACGTTATCATCGCATGAATGATACGCATATGACTACAGTACTGCGCTATTGACGAGAAATTCTCAGCACACGACAAACACTGACGACGTGAATTATGCACACGTGCTATATGACGTTCTAGCTGCAAACCACTTCATATTTCATCTGACTGTGAGCAATTTTCAATTTGTTGCTCCGAATTGATCACAGCATTATATCAAATCACGAACATTATCATCACTAATGCATTCAATGAATCTTTTTCTTTGCCCCTATTCAATCCCTCAACCGCCGAACCTGCATGTTTTCAAGAAATTTTTATTTCGTCAACACAAGAAAATTGTTGCCTTTGTTATGTTACTGTCTCCAGAAAGCTTTTGGAAATTATTATGCAACATTAATAATGGCAAATTTGTGCTCACCTGGGTACGCTGAATAAAAATCGCATTGCAACGAACACACAAAAACGTTCCCCGGCCTGAATGCGATTGCTCATGTGTCTTCAGTTCAGTGGCTCCGCGAAATCTAGCAATTGAGTAAAACCTTTAAAAATTTTAAAAACAAAAAAAAGCAAGGAGAAAAAAAATGAAACGGATATGACACTGCACAGAAAACCCAAATAAACATATGATGTTGAAAATTATGAGCATGTCTAGCATGTTGGTGTACGTCCACCAGCGTGCGTTTTTGAATTGCACAAATATTCCTCTAAAGAATTCCACTAAAAAAAAATCATCTATCCACTCTTCGAATCCATAATAATTCGACTAGAATGATCGAAAAGGCTATTCAGTTTTGAAATCAATTCAACGGACATAACGCATAAACAAATAAATGAACCAATGAACAAGGAATTAAAGATCAACAGATAAATATTCATCTATCAAATACGTTAGAAAAGAGATTTTAAAATACCATCTGTCATACCGTCTTTGACAAATTGTACACTGATGAATTCGACTCGGATCATGCCGATCCATGTGTTCGTAAAACAACGATTTCGATACAAATTGCTGTCCACATTTCCAGCATTTCCATTTGGTGTGATTGCGCTGTGAAAATTTGAATATTATCCCGAAAATTTCAAGTCCATGTAACGATTCATGTTTTATTGGTTTAGAACGAATCTGATCTCAGATGACCACTAATATGTTGCTTAAATAATAACTATGACAAGATTGTGCAAAAACAAGACTAATTTCATTCCTCGTTTCGCTTCACTTCCTCTAAGTTATCAGTGCCTTATCATAGAGCTGCACGAAAACAATTCACAAAATAATCGCCCAGCAACAAAATTCGTTGCATACATTTCGTAGATTTAAAAATCACACAGTTATTTCATCGAGAAATTAATTGGATTACGAAAGTGAATTCATTAATTACAGTTGAAAACACAAAAAATAAGCCTACATTTTGATGACGCTTCAAATGCCATTTTGATTCAAATCTGGCACTACATTCCAAACATTGCACAGTTTTTCGTGGATTTGCGACCAAGGATTCTAAAACAAAGGAACTTTCAATGTAGGCATCATTGATGAGTTGATGAAAGCAAAATGATAAACGGTTTTGATGATAAATTCAATGTAACAATGAAGCCATTGTAGAATAAACGATAACAAAAGTATTATGAAAGTGAATCAAATGAATACGAAAACGATCATTCAATTCAGCAATGTTTAGAGGAGAAAGAATAATCCAGACCACAAAAAAAGATTTCAAAGTCGATTTCAAGCTCTGAAAAGTGCGCCGCATTAGAGTCATTGAAGTTAAAGAGTTTGCGGCATGCGAGAGGAGCGTTAAATGGATAGCCAACCAGAATAAATGGCAACAGATGCGCACAAAATATGTCGCATAAAACCAAAACGAAATTTCCTGGCGAACAGGAAAACGATTCTTCTTCTAAGCACTTTGACGTTTGATAGCAAAATGAATGCGAGAAACACTCATAAAGAGATTATAGAAGATACAAAGAATACGAGGCTGACCAGGAACCACAGTTGTGGAGAGTGCTTCTGTGAGATTGTTGCTTTTATTCGGATGGCTTGTTGACGCTTCTTCAGAATCAGTAGTAGTCTTATAGGACGACCGCTGAATGGCAACGACAGTTTCTTGATTGTCTGGATGAGTAATGTCCGAAGCGGAATCGCAGTCGTCCGATGAAGATGATGACGATGACGAAACAGTGAGTGTCGAAGCAATCGTTGTCGTTCTTTCAGCATCCACTCTTCTGTTTCCTGCTTCTGCTACTGCAGCATGCTTACGAGCAATATGCATCTCGAGATGTGACTTTTGCACGAACTTCGCCCAACAATGAGCACACTCATGCTCACGAACGTTCAAATGCGACAGCTGATGACGACACAGTTGTGACAAGTACAAAAACGACTGCAACATTCACATTTTCAACCATATTGCTAACGCTAACAATAACAATTATTATTAGGTGAATGAATGAGAATTTATGCTCTCTTTTCTTTGATGCGTTATGCGTGTGGTCGATTGGTGAAACGAATAAGAAGAGTGTATTTGTAGATTATAACAAGTAATCGGAAGTTTTAGATAAAACTCAGAGGTACATTTTAGGAAAAATATTCACGAATACTCCAAAAAATAGCTTACTTTTGAACACATTGAACACGATAACGCACCATTATTACTTTGTTCAACAGTTGTACCATTCGAACTATCAACATTTGCATCCCTTTTTGAACTGTGAACACGTTGACAATGCTTTGTTAGGTATCTGCGAATTTATTTCTTCGATATAAAGGGAAAAATCTCTCTTTTCTGTTGAAAAACTGACTTTCACATATCAAACAGACATTTCATTCTAAAGAACATCTTTTGTTTTCGATGATCAATTAGAGCTATTCACGTGTAGAATCGAGAAATGGATAAAACATTTCAAACAAAACATTAATGCTGATGATGTTTTTGTGAAATTTTAACTGAACATAACATCGTCACTCAGATTGCATCAATCAACAATAAGTCATCTTGTTGGCGCTTTGATGCAATCGCTCGAAAAAAAAGAACTTCGGAGACACGGAACGAACGCTCGTCAATTCGCTGAACGAAGAACAAACCTTTTCACGGCAAATCTTTTCGAGCATTCACTACACTTGAAAACACCTTGTCGAGCATTCATTGTGGCCGTCGTTTACTTATTTTGATTGTTCGCCGCATTCACTGTGCTAGTATTTTGGACAGACTGTTGATATTTCAAACGGATTATTTGTATGCATTGATCATCTAATATTATTCGTTATATATTTAGCAATTTCCAGAGATATCGCTAGTCATCTGTATTTGGTGCAATGAAAAGTGATATCAAAGCATCGTAGCCGAAAGAAATTATTGACGGCTCGCTCAGTAAAAACAAAAAATAATCACAGCAACATCCAGCAGCCGAATCTAAAGCATGCACGATAATTTTTTCGGGGCTCAAGCGGAATAAAGACAGTTTCCACGTTGGAGTAGGATTTTCTAAAAACGCGGAGCCAAAGCTAAAACTGAAATTTCGAAAATGCGGAGCCGGAACAGAAGCCGAGTGATTCTTTTCAAATTTGGGCATCACTTGAAATAAATTCATTTTAGAATGGATGAACACATCCACTTACGCGTGGTTTATGAGGGCAAGAAATGAACTATAAAATAATTTAAAAACGTAATAAATACAAATGTTTGGCTCAGAAACACCATTCTAGCTATCAATGTATGCATGTGCGTGTGACCGAACAAGAAAAATAAATTTGAAAAACCCGAATGCGTCTAATAACAACAATATCAGATGATGAGTATTTTAATGAATGAATTCAATCACATAAGTATTGACATAACAAACAAACAAACAACAGATGATCGATCACTTGATAATTGAGAGACAGCACAACGAAACTTTCATCATTCACATTGAAGAGAAATACTAAAGAAATTTAAGTGAATTTAACTGCTGAATGGCGCTTACAGCAATAATTGTTCATTAGCATTTACAATGATAACAATAATAACACTGAACGGAATAGGAACATTCCTATGATCACCAGTATTATCATAACAATAATGTCTATCACAAAAATTGCTCACTGAACTGATGATGATGACAAATCATCATCATCAAATTCAATTCGCATTTGCTCGGTGGAAGCTTGTAATTGCTCAAGACCCGAGATCGTTTCCAAATGCTTTGGTTCATTTAAGACTTTTAAGATGAAATCGGTTTGTTGCTCACGATATGCGTTCACAACTGCTTCACCACACGCCACACACCGATCGAAACGTCGCACTGTCGGTGTCATCTATTTTTTTGGATATAGATTCTTTAACTAACTCTCTTCACAAAAGAAACACTTTCATTTGATCGGAAAGGTTTCATCCATTCATTTTCCAATTTATATTCGTCCAAAAACTTAGTCGAACAAAATCCAAAATCATAATCGCTTTCACCATTCTTTCAGTGCTATTCATATCGGATTTAGGAAAAGGACCACAAGTCTTCTGAGCAGAAGAATTTGAACCAACAGAAAACCGTGAATTTAATGGACACAAATATGCTATTTTAAATAACATAAAAAACGAATGAATTATACAGAGTTGGTATACGATAAATTAGAAGAATAGAATAAAGGTAAATACCTAAATAAAGAGACATACGAACCTGATGGAATCTTGAAAGAAAACCTCGGATTTGATGTGGAGTTGCACCAAGTGCACTCGAATTATCGTCTATCTCGCCGATACGTGCCGGGGCTAGACCCAATTTTGGATGCTGTAAAACCGATGCGAGTAGTTCAACGGCCATACCAGCTGCAATCATCGAAACACCCGCTCGACTCACCTAAATTTCGATGTCTTCGTTCATTCACATATTTTTTCATTGGATTCCTCCTTAAAAAACAAACAAACAACCGAGTGAAATTGTCCCATCAAAATGCGAATATCTGATGCCAACAACGTACCGTGCACTGCTGATCAAGCGTACGATCCAGTATTGAATTGCCAGGTGCTGTTACATCACTACAGAAATAACAACCCAACTCAGAACCCGGTATCACCAAATCGTCAGCCGTGAACGCCTTCTCATAACTTTCATCGTAAGCCGCTGACGACTGATCACCGGCCCTTCGGCTCGCGTTCATACCGCTCAATAATTTCGACGATGACTCAGTGTCAGTCGAGTCACCACTCTCGAAGATATCCTCACAAGAAATCGTTTCCGCTGCACTTCTATCCACCGGAATGCTCAAACCATGCCGAATCACCACGTACGAATCAAAACCCATTGCAACACTGATCGTTAACTGCAAAATTCAACGCGCACACTATAATCATTTCACCCAGTTCCATGTTGATTAATTGAAAATCATTTAATCCGTTAACAGTGCAGTTGTAACAACAAAAAGACATAATCAAAACACTAACCTTGCCATGAATCCTACTTAAAAGTGTTGGTAACCATCTTGCCTCACGACTATCCATCACCAAAAAGACCACATCACTTTGTTTGATTAAACCTTCCAGTTTCGTAACAGATTCCCTCACTTTCTCCATATCTGCAATCAGTCATACTGTTATGATTCTCTACTTCATTCAAGGACACAGAATTCGAAGAGGAACCTTTTTCAGCGACCGAATGTCCGGGCATTGGTATTTTCATATCGACGTAATCAGTGTCTACCGATGGAACGATACGGTGAAGTTTTTCGGATGCAGCCAACGCTTTCGATTTACCGCCACCAATTGCATCGTCAAACTCGAAAAGAGACTGCCTGAAGAAGACCGATTAATCGGATAAGAAAAGCAAACGTATCGTCGACCAGTACTTCGATCAATTCAGTTCTTTCATTAAAATTTTTCACCATATAGTCAAAAATATCAATGACTGAAATGAAAGGCATGCGAGTAAACAGAAGGGAATGAAAACAGACTCTGTTTACCTGACAGGGTTACTGAACGAAACATTTGCATTATCGACAAAAACAATACGCTTAACACCCCAGCCAAGCAGCAGTCTAGCCACATTACATCCGAGTGTGCCTGAGCCAAGCATCAGGCAACGTAGCGCAGAAAAACGCTCTAACTTGATTTCGGGTACCAATCGCCAACGGATTAAACTCAAATTCAGGCGCACACCCTCATCGACAATTCTGAATTAACGATTCTAATCGATCAACGAACAGGAGAGTTAGCGTTCAATAGAGTTCTGCTGACAAAACAACTGATAAACAAATGAAGAAATAAAAGTAAGCAACTATCAAAGAGCAACTCACAAACACACTCACTTGATTGGATCAAACGTGGAGCTCATATCAACAAAAACTGGTTCCAAAGTACCTCGCTCAGAGCGTTCCCATCCAATCGGTTCCGCCGACAAGAAATCTTCATCACTGTCAAGCCTAGACCAACCGATATTCAGATTGATACTGGGTAATTTTGGATTGGCGCGATACGCGATAAAATGTGCATCTCGCCATTCTCTACTGAAATGATAATTGTCATCATTAAAATCAACGACTCATTCAATTAGTTGGTTCTTAAAACCAGAAACTGAAAAGGACAAAACTGAAAAAGGAATTGCTTCTGACTTGGAATCGCCATTAATAATACACTTTCAAACCGACAAAGTAACACCGATACTTTCACATAATAGCCACTCAAGGAATCTCGACAATTCTCAGAAACGCAAACCCGTTAAAAACAAGCAACAAAAACATTAAAACGAATGAAGAAACAATGCATCCCCTTACAAATGATAAGCGATCGCAGCCAAAATGTTTCTCAACGGCCATCCAGGTACTTGCGGATGTGTGGATGGATCCAAGAAAACGATCTTTACTGAGGCGGATTTCAATCTGTTCGATTTACTAATGCCAAAAAATTGTTGCATTGAAACAGGACCAATATCGCCAACCACTTCATCAGTTTCATCGAAGAGCACAAAAGGAAGACCGTTGAAAAGAATCGAAAATGAGCGCAATTCCGCTTGTTTTTCCTCATTCACTGGCACAATCGCACCGAGCAATTTCAGTTTATGTGGGTACAGTAATGCCGGTTGACAATTCCAAAACCAATAATGATAGTGCTTAAGATCCTGAATAAATGAACATTTATTATGATGTAACCACTGATATCCATTATTTACTTCATCACCTATTCACTTGATCGTTACTCGGCTACTTCAATGCCGAAAACTGTTACAACTAATTGATTGATTGACCAATTCAAGTTTTTCGACAAAATATTGCTGATTCGCTGAAGATGATTCCGCTACTCTGATGAAACGGAGCATTTTTTGCTTCAAATGGGTCAACCACTATAACGGTGTCATCCTTTTCCTTTTCTGATACTGAATTGATTTTCGTTTTTGCAACCGTTACGGCCCACTGATCACGATACTATTGCTAACAAGCTGACAGCGTGATGGACTTCAGTCGCATAAATATATTCATGATTCAGTCACGAGCAAATTATTTTAAAATGTGACGGACAACTATTTTAATTCGGCATTATTATCAGCAAATTGTTAACTCACTTAACTTACCGCGAATATTGTCAAATGGAATGTCGTCAACGATGAAAACATATCCGAACCTTCATTTTCAAAACCATCCGTGATCAGTTTTTTAATCTGGAATATTACTTCGTCAATTTTACAAATTGGTTTCGTAGTAGTTCTACGCCTGTGAAAAATCTGCCTGCTATTATGCAATAACCGACATAATCTGGGAAGATATCATCGAAACTGACAAATAACAGACCTTATCACCGCACTGAAGTAACACTGCTCTTCGATCGAGTTTTTTGAAAGCGACATCTGTGTTGAGTAGATGGACCCGCCCTTTCACGTAATTGATGCCAATGCTTCTCGAAAGTGAATCCTCGTCAGAAAATGCATCGAATGACAGTGATAAACGAGAGGTCGACGATGGCTGGTCAACTGAAGGACATCAACAAATGATCACGTGATTTCATTAGATTGCATAACTGTAACTAAAGCTGTTCATAATGATAGCTCTAGAGACTTCTCATAGAGATTTATGCCTTTCAAATGACCATTGCCGGTACCACTGAAATAGTGAATTCATAAGATACACGAAAACGACTGATTATGACAACATTATTGAACTCTTATCACTGCTTTGAATTTTTGTTCAACATGCTATTGTTACTTTTGCCGGCACTGCACCTGTGCAGTTTTGGTATCATTTGGTCTCATGATCGTTTTAATTTTACTGTTCGATCGATGCACTTCTTTTGTCTTTTCCCTCATGAGAATCGGTATTACATTTCGCAGCTGCAGTTTTCGATTTACAAATAAGATCATGGGCATAACGATGATAGAGTAAGACCATGTAGGTGTAAAGCATAATCTGGGGTGAGTGGATAGTTTAACGAACAAAATATTACGTACAGTTGCAATAGCTGGCGAATATTGGCTGTGGCGTTTCGTCTAACTTCCACTCGTTCAACTTCTTTCGATTCAGCTCATTCCAAAACGATGGATCGATGAACGTCGAGAGAGGCATAAACGAGATTCCATCTGACATCTTGCTCGACGGATGGCTGGCAATTACCCTTGCAGTGAATGTGTATTAATGGTTGTTACTGGTTCTAAAAATGTGAAGCGATCAGAAAGAAGAGTTCAAGTGCAAAAAAAGAGGACTTTCGCTTATCATCTGTTTGCTCGCAATTCAATCGTTCCCCTCCGCACTGAACACTCAGCACGTATAACTTTGGCCGTGACATGCAACGAGCAGGCAGCCTGAATGCACAACCAAAAAAAGCGATTATCGCACAGAACTTTAGATTGGCGTAACAACATACCACATAGGGGCATTTTGCTAATATTGAATAGTATGTGATGTGTGTAAAATCGCTTGTTGTTAAAAATGAGTCACACCATAGTGCACAAGAAATGGGGTCTAATCAGATGAGGGGGAAGATTCTCTGAATGTAAGAGAGGGCTTATGGGATAAGAAGGAATCTTACTGGAGAAAAAGAGCCCCACGAGTGGAAGAAAGGTTCCTCGAGAAAAAGATAGATTTCCTATAAAAGAGAGGAATATTCTGGAACAGGTGCAGACAGACCACAAGGACGGGAGAGTTTCTCGGGGAAAGGTAAGGGTCATCTGGAAAAGAGAGTGGTACTCCGGGAACGAGCGTGGACATGCAATATGGAAGGCTGCGAAATGTGATTCAAAACTGATACGTCATAGAAATGTAAAATTGCAACGATGTAATATACTAGTGTTCTTTTATTAAATGATAACGTGATCATAATAACATATAGGAGGCGAATAGTGTTGATGATACTGCTAATATTTATCATATAAATAATAGTACTAATCAAGATAATAACGACAACAGACATAACGATCAAGAATGGGGTTGGTTGAGAGTTCATTTTTGAAAAAAAAATATTGTGGTTAAGCTGTTGGATTGAATGCTGATGGCTGAAACACATTCAAACAAATCGTTTGTTAAACAAAATTATTCCGGAATGGAGTAAAAACAGCAAAAAAATTGTGAGGAGGATGGCCGATAATTGACATTTTTGTTGAAACGGATTGCTGATTAAAAATCGGTTTTTGGTCGTGTTTCAATCCATTTCTTGATATTCGGTTGGCTCATCATGCGATCTTTGAATGCGATTAGTTGTGGATAATTATTAGCCGTCGTTGGGAATAACGAACCGAACAGTCCAATCATGCACAACATATTCAAGTCAGCAACCGACAACTGTAAATTGAACAAAACAAGTACTGAAGAAAAAGAAACATAGAATTCAGAAATTCATCAAAAAAATTGTTTTTTACTTTTCTTTTTACTTTTACTTCTAATTCATCAAAAATTCTAAATGAGTATTTCTATGCGTTGTTGAATACTCACAACTTCTCTATTTCTTAGCGCATTATCATCACCTTCTCTCACAAAAATGTTTTGATTGAATCGCTGTGTGTTACAATAATTTGAATGCATTTGTAACGTTATTATGCTGTCGGTATTAACGCAAATGGCCAGCATTAACAGTTAATCAATCACTAATGCTCTTTCAGTATTTCTGATTTTCTATCAACTCGTTTGAGACTTCATGACATCGATGTATCATACAAATTTGAGCGATTTTCAGAAAATTTGATTATTTCAAGAAGTCCATAATACAGTTCTTATTTGAGTAAGATATACGCAGTCGGTGTGTTTACAGACTTTCTATCAATGCAAATGACATACCTGTTTTCCGACAAAAAATCCTGTACCGTTTTGCTGAAGGATCTTATCAATTTGTGTAAAAAATGGTTCTAGATGATCTTTCTCAAATGCAACCATCAGTTTCTTCTGAAAGAGCAACAATAAAAAAATGAATTCTCTTATTACTCCCTCTTTATCCACAAAGAAGATGAATCTCAAAAAAAAAAAGAGAATGAACCGGGAAGAAAAACCGAATAAACCAACAAATTTGGTCCTTTTCGTTCTCAGAATTACTCAGAGTGCAGTCGGCAAATTATCAACATTCAAACACCGGTTTCTTTAATTGCTTGTCGCTCTATGTTGCAATAACAAAAAATGGAATTCTTTCGGCATGTTCGCTCACTTTTTCAGCTTCATTCGTCTCTTTGTAAAATGGAAGTGCATGGTTTACAAAATCCGTTGTTGCACCAAAAAGCTCTTGAATCTTAGCCGCATCCCAGTCATCTTGTCCGTTCAGTCCTTGAATGAAGCGATTCTTATAAGTTTTTCCTCGACTCATGCTCACTATCACTTTCATACTGGTACTGAAGATTTGTTGCTGCTGCTTGATGAGTAAATACGATATAAAATGTTCATAGTTCGATGGATGAGCATGAAAAGATGTTCGTAAGTGATCAACAACCAATTATCAAATAGCCTAGCAAAAAATGAAGCGAAACGCAACCGAATTTCTTCGCTAAATATAAAGCGATTGCAGTCGATTCACCCAGCATTCGACCAGTGCTTTCTTCTTCGAGCACCGGAACATGTCCAAAAGGTACCTCTGAAAGCAGCTTTACAATAAGTTCTATTTCAAATTTTATTTCAGTGCTCATTTTTGACATAATCATCATTATCATACTATTGCACGCGGTCAATTTCATCGTCATTAGCAGTGTTATCTTTAGGATACTTGTAATGGTTGTTATAACAGTTGTTTTTCTGCCTTTTTTGCATGATATATTGCTAAGATTTCAAAAATATCATTGACTATTGCCATTTTTAATGAAGCGTTCATATCAAACACACTTGGTTTCAATGCTGGCCAATCACTGTCAGTGATACGAACGTCCTCGTAGTCTACATTCGCCTGTGCGAACAGTAAACGAATCACTTCAGCACGACCCATCCGGTTGAAATAGATTAGTTTATATTTTCCCATCTGAAACTTATTAAAAATCAGTCGTCATTCGTTCATTTCCACTATGCATCCATAGATCATAATGAATGATACTGCGATCAGATAGCTTTCAACAGTAATAAATCACTGAACTTTTCAAAGGCAATGTGAGAATATCAAAATCGTTGAGAGCTGATTATGAGTCCAGCTGTTTTGGTGATAATAATTCGACAGTGCAACTAATGGTAACCATAAGAATGAAAAAGTAACAATTAAAATAACGGTATTTCTACATTAACTGTTAGCAATAAGAACAGTCATAATGGAGTAATTGCTGATCGAACAAGGAAATGCGCATGAGCACCGCTTACTAGTGGCACTTGAGTTAAACTGAAGCGGTTGTCATGTGCCTGACGAAGACGACTGCATCACATGAGTGAGACTGACGCATGATCAATCAAATACCGTGATTACTGAAGCGATAATAATAACAACAATTAAGAACGAAACCATAACAAGCATTCCTCGACGCACAACTCGTTACAGTTGATTGTAAATAGTTGATAATTTCATTTAATTTGTTGCATTCCTTTATCCATAACTTTCACAATAACAACTTTCATTTACTGCATTGCAGTCATCATTGTTGACAATAATTACTTTTGAAGAAAGCACGACAAATTGGTAAATGAATAAATAAATGAATATACATATATACTGTAATTCTTAAATGGAGATACCAGCATAATACAAAAATTAAATGCTGCTTAGAAAAGTTGCGGGTATGGGTCGCTTAAGCACGGCATAATCGGTGAATGTTTGATGCGAAGCTGATGTTTAAACTCAATTTGTGTTATATTCATAAAATACATAACCTAATATTAAGGTGGTGTTTTTTTAATCACTATTATCATAATGAACGTACCTACCGCCTTTGACAAAAGTTGACGACATTTGTTTTTTGCACATTTGTATGATTTCAACCGCTTTCCAAAGCCACGGTTTTGTTTATGCTATGTTTGCCCTTATTTCCACTGCACTATATCGCTACAAACTGAACACACCGATTTCGAAGGGATCCCGATGCAAAGTACTTGTTCATTGAGTTCACGTTCTTATTCTTGATTTTTTATTCATCACAACCTAATTTTCCTTATTGTTAGTTATGTGATTAATCGCAAGTATTCTTCGCAAAAATTGTAATTAATTCCGGTCAAATTAACATATGTAGCATATTCACATGGTGAAAGTGAGCTCTCTTCCGAAAAGTTGTTTTTATCAGAGCTAAATTTGCGCTTTCTCGTCATTTTTGTGTACTTTTTAAATAAGGCAAATTCAACCTCAACATATGGTTAAGTATCGCAGGTTTCGTATTCAACAATTTAGCCTCTCAGTGACGTTCTTCATCAAACCATAACGAAGCTACCAATAAATTAGTTTCTTTAGGTTTTTGATGGAGACTTCCTGAAAATGTTGACTTTTGCAACGGAAAATGAACGTGGTTGAAGCATTTTCGTTTCTGTTCGTTGTTGATGTACCTTTTGGTTTGCCGAGTGCGTTTTTTAAAAATTAATTTGCTTTAATGGATTGTTACTTCCAACCTCTTCATATGTTCCAGCTGCTGAATGGTCCGGCTGGACGGCGGAATTCATCTCTGGCTATCGTCGTTCAGGAATGAGTTTCTAGCAGGAATGCTGAGTGATAAAATGCGAGAACAATCAAAAGATTACATTAGCAATCAGCACACTCAATCAAAAGATTACATTAGCAATGTTCAACATCACCACCACATACATTCAGAAGAGCACAAATATTCATAAATGTATCCATAACAGAACATCACACATTTAAATATTCAGCTACCGTAGTCACCTGTGGAGATGAATCAATCAGCAATCTGTTGGGAAATGAGTGAATGCAATGACGATGAATAAGGAAGGCGGGATGATGAAGAGTTGACTTACTGTGATTGGTTGATGGGTGTAGTTGGATGCATGACGATTGCATTGGATTAATTGATGGGTTGAAGGGCATGAATCGATGAATCAAACGAATCAATCGGTCGTACTGCTTGCATTCATCAGTGAGGATATGGTGAGATCCTCTCATAGCATTGAGATTACGGTAGTCTCAAGCCGAAGAAAAAAGGCACAGATAAAGCAACAAAAGGAATGTCAATCATTTGTGTGTTTTTGTCGTTCACGTGGAATCTGTTAGTGCTAGATCAGCACAGAGATCAAATTGATTTGTAAGCGTACAAAGTTTGATTCTGTCTGTAGACATCTGAAAAGTCGCTATTCCTAGTGTTCCATGATGTACTGGTTGAGTTAAATTAATATTATTTGGTATCAATTAAACGATTAGAAACTTGATACAAGTTTTTTTATAAATTGCAAGGAGATGGAAATTCTTCTCAGATTTTGTTCTGCGATGGTACTTAATCGCATAAGATTGTTCTACGATGAACAAAGTTATGAATAGTTTATTGTCATCTTTGTTTTTTATTTTCATGAAATACATACAATATTTATCGTTATCATGTTGCTACCACAATGATTATGTTGGCATTTTTTTCACCACAATACACATATTGCATGACAATAGATGGCAAGCGACACACAATAATTTTAAGAATCAATCACGCACGAAATGACATATGAAAATATTCAACATAAAACGAATAACAACACCATAATAACATCATAACGACACGAAATTTTCGCTTTTTTCCAGTACGCTGAAGAACTGAAGGCATTTGAAGATTCGTTCAGTCACAACTGATTAGGAAATCGAACATCTGAACGTTTCAATATGAAATTTTGTGAATGGCGTTGAAATTTCTATCAGCATTGAACTGAAATGAAATGGAAAAAATATGGAACAAACACATGAATATGTTGACGTGATGCCTTGCTCGAAGACTCAACAATCATTCCAGAGCTTACAGGGGTTGTTCGTTCCTCAACTCATTCTAAATTCTTTGACTTCTAGTAGTAACGACAACTGACGAGCAGCTAGCTTTCTGCTGGATCAGCGTTTTGAGTAGGACGATTAAACATTCAACAAGCCGTGATCTATCGCAATTCAACCACCCACAGTCGAGGGATTATGATGATCAGTCGGCGATTTGGCAACAATCCTCCTATTTGACGAATTCGCAATAAATCAAAAAATCACAGTATTGCTTTTTCATTGCACAAATGAGTCAAATTGGCGAAAAAAAAACGACAAAACTTAAGCGAATACAATGAAGAAAAAATAAATAAACGAAACGAATATTCAGCAAGAACAACAACAACAAATGCATATGGTTGAACGAAACATTCATAGTGTGAATGAGTTTTACTGAACTGAACGTTCTTTTATCGTTATAAAGCAGTGGTGACTGGAGCCGCAATCGGTTTGGGATATGCAATCGGTGTTGTAGCTGCAGATCTGGGTGAGACACGTTCGTAGTGATTTGTTAGCAAACTATTTCCAGGAGCACCGTTTCGAAGTTGTGAAACAACATCTTGCATCATATCGATTAGCTCATGGAAAGTTGGTCTTCGATTTGGATCTTCATTCCAACAAACCAACATAACATTATCATATCTGAACAAAAAAAATAACAACAACAACAAGTGATTCGATCATTAGTTAAACTTCTTTAATCTTCACATTCGGTAACTGATTTTGAAAACTCGAAAAAATTTCTCCTATTGATTCATTCATTTCATCGCAACATTCATCACTTTTTTGAATCTCAAGAACTCTATCAAAAAATAAACTTGATGAATGCCACTGATTATTTTGGACGTATTCCGATTAATTCGCTTCATTTTCTATAAAGTGAATCAAAAAACAAAAATGTTATTGAAAGAGAGAAATGTGCTTGGTTATATAAATTTAAATGTGCACAATGCACGATGCAATATTCATGAAATGGAACATTCTGTAAACGTACAACAAGTCAGGACATCCCTTCGGTTTACTGAGCCGATGACCAGCCTTGAGTAGCCTCAGAATTTCATGCATCTCGAGATTTGCGTATGGTATCAGTCCACGCGTTGCCAGCTCCCACAAAACAACACCGTACGCCCATATGTCGCCTTTGAATGTGTACTGTAAAATTTGAATGATTCATTTTCATCCAGCATCTATTCGCTTCTTGATTTAGCAACTGTATTTCACTACTCATTGATTATTCGACATTCAGAAGTGAAGAATAAATAAACTTGAGGAGTCGAAGTTCAACACAATGCGTGTTGATGCGAACAAGAAATAACCACTGAATGAGATCATAACAATTGATGGGTGCAACGAGTTACGTAACGAATAGGATGAATCATTAACATGAATGTGAATGATTAAGGAAAAATATACTTCATCAATGAAAATTAATTGAAAATGTATTTGAAGAAGTTAGTAAGCATAAAATTATGCCGTTTTACATACCTGTTGGTCTTCTAAGGATTCAATAGGCATCCAACGTATTGGAATACCACGATCTTTGGTTACTGCTTTATACATACCACATCGGGAAACGTCTCGACTCAAACCAAAGTCGGAGATTTTAACAACCAAATTGGCGTCCAACATGCAATTCCGTGCCGCAAGATCACGGTGTATGAATTGCTTTTGATGCAAATAATCCATGCCCTTTGCAATTTGAATGCCAAAATCGAGCAGCTTACCAAATGTGAGCCTATTGTTTTGATTAGTGATATAATGTCGTAGATCACCATTCGCCAAATAATCAGTGATGATTAGCGGACAGTTGTTTTTTGTTAACGAAATACCGACAAGTTGCGCCACATTTGGATGTTTGAAATTAGCCATGATAAGACCTTCGCGAAGAAATTCGCTCACACCACTTACCACACCATCTGCATGCGAATCAATCGTCTTGCATGCTACTTCACGTTTCTCACCCATGCAATCGCACAGAGTTGCTCGATATACAACGCCAAAATTACCTGTAATAGACCAAGTATTAATGAGTTGTTCCAATTCAACAAAAAATGTTTAACGCAACAAGGACCCAATCTTGCAAACCTTCACTCATGAATCACTCACTCAAACCATGAATCACTCAAATTAGTATCATGATAAATATTCCACGTTTCAGTCTCATCTCCAAGAAAACGCACCATAAAGTTGCCGCAGTTCACAAATTAGTTCTGAGAAGGAGATGACTAGCATAAAGAAGGAGATAGACATGTCGATTAATTAAATGACATTGTCTAATGAGTAGAATTAAAAGTGGGAAAACTGCTCTAAAATCAAAAACCTTTGCCAATCTCATCACCAATAATCAAATCATTCAGAGGAACTTTAAGTTTTGGATCAATTTCCGAGAAAAGTTGTTCGTATGGATTGAATCGCCTTGGAAGATAGCCGTTTCCGTTATGTCCAATATATGCATTGCAATCTGCGGAAGATGCTAAAACTAAAATTGTTGTTCATTAACAATTGCAATCACAAAGTGAGAATCAGAAATGCTCTAAACATTTCACTCCTTCCCCCACCGCATTCAGAAACGAAAAACAACTCATTTCAGCATTGTGCCTATGTCGTAACACCAGTCGATTCGTCAAATTCGAGAAATGATAACCAGATTTCAGACGAACAAAACACCTATTCAACAAATAACTCACAGTGTCCGGTTATACTTCCATTCATAGTATCGAATGGAATCTGTAAACTTGCCGCATCTGCCTGTTTCCTTCTCAATCGTTGGCGCTGAAAATCATTTTGAGCAATAGAAAAGTGCAAATTGCTGACCGATTATCATGATTAATGACACAAATGACAATGATAATGAAGACATTACTGATGGATAACGATAATGATAACAACAAGTAATAGTAGATATTGCAATAATAACACAACAAGACGAAACTTACCGCTTGATATCGTCGTACTAGTAGAATTATAAGAGCAATTAGTATCACAAGAAATAGCACCGCAATTACAGATGCGATTGCTCTTATCGTTCTGAAGCAATAAAGTGTCTTAGAGCATTGTTGGCAACAAGTTGGAATAACATCAGTGCTAGATAATAATCATAACAGCAATAGTCATGATCATAACAATAACATCAATAATAATAAGAATGGTAATAATAATAATAATAATAGTAATAAAGATAATAATAACAGTAATAATACTAATGAACCTCGTAGAGGTGGAACGATGGCTGTGAGTGGACGAAGCGGTATCAATGGTGGTTTGAGTTACTGTGTGATTATATTCCAAGGCGAATGGTCCATGCTTACCAAGCTCTCCTTCTGCATTAATCACACAACTGGAAGTGTCCTCGAATTTTTTCGACAGCAAACACGACACTCTAAAGTTATTTCGTCACTGAGTACCAAAACAGAAATTTATATTTCAACGAGTATGACATTTTCTTTCAAGCTGTAATCAAGACATCAGCTGACTGCTAGGATGAAGGTATTTGCAATGCTACTTGGTCAACTAAGGAAAGAAGAGACGAAAGATTTTTCTTTTTGTTAACGGAGAAATGAAAGTTTTTCCTCGTATAATCGAACAGGACAAAAAGATGACTCGAAACTAACTATCAACAGCTTTATTGCAAAACTTTTCATGCATATGAAGATGAAATTAAAAAAACATATGATAGAATATAGAAAGAAGAGAAAGACTATATGAAAAGCATATGATAAACCTGTTATGTTCGACCATCTTGACTGGGCATGAACGATTACAAACGCTCACTGACATTCCTTGCAATCTATCGAATTTATCACCGTATAACTCGACAACAGTGGAATGCGGTGATTCGGGCGAGAGATTGACCTGAATTAGAAACACTTGAATTTCCAATCAAACATAAACAACTGAGCAAGAGACAGATTTGGCGAAAGATGCTTCACTTGACAAGAGTACGTTAGCTTGGAAATCTTTTAGATATTTCGTTGCCAGCTTCTCCCTTGGAACCAGCTTTATGCCTTGTGGGATCGACAGTAAATTATCGTGAACGAGAGAATACGTAATAATCAATCACATTCAATTGTTTGGTAAGTAAGCAATCATAGAATAAGCAGTGGTTCGGGTGGTAAAAACTCATTTGAGATTAATGAAATGGATGGATGATCGATGAAACGAAAGTGCTGATTACGTGTTTTATATACGGTGGACAAATGTCTGTGATGCTAATATCTGTACAACGATCGGTCCGTGCAATCGTTTTGCCGGATTCATTGGATTTCGCACACCAAAGACAACCCAACGGATCTGACCATTTGCTTCTTTCAAGTGCATCACAATTCTGATACAAACCCGTACAACTCACTTCAACATATTTTATCTGAAACACATCACTATTTGATGGTCAAATTTCCTATAAAATTCAAATTCATTGCTCTGCCTAACTGAAATAAATTTTGCAAGGTAAAAAACACATAAACTTGTCGAGAGCGTGAAAAGTTGATGCAAATGTAATAAATATTGCATTTCATTTCAATGAATTTCATCATCGTGCATCATAGGGTTGAATCACGACTGAAATCGAATTCGGGGGTGCCCGAGATGGGGCCCCTGAAACCTCAATAGCGTTCGTGGGTAAATTCTAATTCATGCTCGGAAGTACAGCCTAATCCAACCCAACTTTAATGCATCGCATAAAAAGATCGCAAAACAGAGGAAGAGATCTGTTCTGTTAATGATAACATTTCAGTAATGAACGCACTTGATTATTTTCAATGTAATAAATTTTATTGCGTTTTGAGTCGGCTACGAATGCGAATCGCCTCCATTGTGATAACAAGTATCTTGACCAAAGATGTGTGTTTGTTTTTGTCGGCAGATCGTGACCTATCTTAAGTAATCATTGAATTTTTAGTCAATAAAATTGACATTCCAAAGCATCTGGATAGAGGATACACCATCAATATCACCAAAATCAATACATTTCGTTCACGTGAATTGAAATGTAAGCAAAAAGTTGGTTTCTGTTTCTAAATCGCGAGCATTAAAAGTTTAAACCAAATCGAAGCAACATCAATAAGTCGATTACTCGATGTAGTCGGCCGTTAGCATCAAGCGTAAATATGGCATTATCACCTTGAACGTGTCCCAATGAGAGTATCTCAGCCGAGTCGCTTGGTAACCGAAAAATAGAGCGAAAATGAGATGATTTCGGAATTGGACTGTTCTCTGAAAGAGTGGTGGGCAGAAGGAGTATGATTCTCACGATGCTCATCTGTCGTCGATAGTCATGGAATTGTGGCGACTCAAACAGATCGCCGTCAAGTTTCAGTGAATAATACAGTTTCGTAGAGCCGAACAAAAACTCAAAACAAGTCTTCTGCAACTACATACGTTTTACTCAACGAACTAAATTTCTGCCAAAACTTCACTTCAGAACAGAGAGCTTTTAGACGATGCAGAAACGAATCAATAAACGAGTAAACGATCTCACATTGCGAATAATGTTCCACTGAATGGATTGAACTCTTCCAACCAACCGTAACGATATGCTAACGACGTTAGCTTATGTAGATCACAATTTTGCGCCCTTGGCGACTGATGGTTCTACAAATAAAAATTTTGCGAACGATCAAAGTCACTCCAGAATACTTTAAATAAGTTCTACATTCAACTATGCTATCATCTTAGGCAATGATTTGCATCGGTCTATTCATTCTCACATTATCAAAGTTTCAGTGGCTCCGCAAACAGAAGAAATCCTTCACTGAGTTATTTTTGGAGGTTTTATGATCGCTAGATTGGTATCTTTTAGAGCAACTCGTGTATTATAAGTGCATCGAGTCCGTTAAAACAGCCGTCTTGCTGTGAGGTTGATAAGGATTTCATTAGTTTTTGTTATTTTTTCCAATATCGAAGTGATGAGTGTGTTGGATGAACACTTACACCACCGAATCTTGAACATGGTGTCATTGCATGTCCATCAGCCAGTCTTGTGAAAATGAAGCAATGATTCGGCAAACTTTTAACATCTAACGCCGAATAGCAATCCTGAAGTATGAATATTCATGGATAAGCAGGCCAAAAACAATGAATGCAATAACAAAATCGCACAATTTCCATGAAATTCTCAATGCTTGGTCCTATTCTCAAGTATTCGTATTAGTGCTTCACTCGACAATATTTTTCAATCAGATAATAATTCCATCCTTAGCAGCAGTATCAATAAAACTCCAGTCTGACGTGAAGTATGATTTTGTTATGAGATAATAAACGAACGAACGAACATCCTGCGATGCGCTGATTGTTGTATTTTGACAGTCATTCCAAATCTTCTCAAATTTCTGATTGATATCAGCCATATTGTATGTGCATATACTATCTGATGATTCAGACGACGATAATGAGTCATGACCATGAGCTGTTGTTAATGAGTGGAATACGACCGTTAACCGATCCGAAACTTCGTCATATTCGGCTGCACTCGCGAGAGCATTCCCATTTAATGCTGAAATGCGATGTGTCGATTAGTTTCTTTAATTATTCGGAAATCTTTCAGCTACAGCGACACATTTCCGTAATTAATAGCTCAGTCGAATTTCTCATACATCACATCAATACATCCTCATGTGTGAACTACCACGATGAATTCACTCACAATCAGGATAAGGCTAAACAACGCAACGAACTCTCACCAATTACTAAGGTTTATGTGATCAGTTTGAGGCGATTTCTAATGATATAAGTTAGGAAGTGATATCATAATGTTACCTATATGAGGGCATCCAAGTGCGAGGTCAATGCGAGATTCGAGATTCTCTGTTGCGTCTCGGTCACAGATTCGTGTTAGTTGTACCGAAGTGAGTTCAGCTTCTTCGTTGATCTTCGAATTTATCAGTGGCTCGTATGGTCGGTTTGCACTACCAACAAAGTACGAGAATCCATTGCGATTGAATGCAGTCACTGTTCGCTGATTGTTTATAATCGAAATATCATTGGCGTATTGTGACGGACTGATTGGCCTGAATTTGAATCACCTTTACTGCTCATTGACAGTGTGATTCAGTATCAAAGAAAGAATGAAGTTTTAGTGGGAAAACGAGCAAAACCGATTGTAGCAGACTGTCGGGTTGAATGGAGCTAGGTATGACAGACTGAAATAACACTTTCAGTGGACAGATGCACGTACTTTTGTGAAGTATTTGTGAGAATGTCATATTTGAGAATAGCTGCTTCGCCGTTAGCGTTCACATAACGTAAAGCAATTGCATCGTCTGAGGTAATCGTTGCGGATAGTTGTAGCAAATAATCGTTTGATCGATGTTTCGTTTTCAGTGAATATATTACACAATTTTGCTCTGCTCCCAAAAAACATAACCTGAATGAGTATCTACTAATTGAGCGACTGATCGATTGCTTGATATAATGGAAGGCATTTGAAGACAACAAGTATCTGGCAACTACTTTTGTCAATGGATCAATAAGAGTGGATTGAATACTTACATCAAATTTCATTTTGTTTGCATCAAATGTGAAAGTATGAATGAAAATTGATGGACAATGTTCTCACAGCATCTTGCAAAAAATATTCCCCTGGCCAAGACAAGTACATACATCCCAAAATAAGAAAAATGTTTTGGACAAAAACTCGCCTACATAAGACTGCATCACATATGAAGATTGAAGATTGATTCAAGAATTTGAATTCAACTAAGTCAAAATCACACGGTGGTTTCAATTGTATACGATAAAGCTGCTGTGAATTAAATGCATTTCGTAATGAAACATTCTTTAATGCCACTGAATCATGGCTTAATTGAAATACAGTGATCGTATCTGTGGTTGAAACAGCCAATAAATCTTGTTTTGACGTAACACCAATCAACGGAATAACACCAAAGTCTAGCAAAATATTATTCGTGGAGCTTTCTGATGATGTTTGCACGGAACTTGAAGTGTGGAATGAGTCGCGGTTGTCGTTATTGTTGTCACCGTAACTAATATGGCTGTCCTCATCACCGATTTCTTGAATGGCGTTGAATTTATTGTGCTCTGACAACGCGGATGACCTTGCAAAACACGTGTAATCACTTGTAAGCACCATTAAATACAGCCAAATCACCATGTAGTGTGTCCACAGACTGGTGGACAATCCTACAAACTGTGTCACCGAAGGCACAGCACGCATTTGTTCGACGTCATCTAACCACTGCACATCATCCGGATCCCAGTCGCAATTGCACTCCAAACAACTCACTCTGAAATTTCACAAATTCCCATATCTTTGCTCACATTCAGAGTTTTTTCTGATTCAATTATCAGCGAAAACAACATTATTATGATACATCACACTCTCTCGCTCACCAACTCCAACCAGTCATTCCAATAATTCAACTTTTTTTTTTCATTCTTTTCATTGATTCTGAGAGGAAGGTTGAAAAAATACTCAGCGCTGCTATCTTCGGCAATCGGTTATGACTCATTACTAATCACGAATCACTTCATCAATCAATATCGGTCAAATAAAGTTGCTTCTTATTAAGACCTAGATTATGACTATTACTGTGGTTGTTCGCTGATTATAAAACGAGTTAATGTAGTCTCTGTAAAATACCAACATAATTTCGATTATCTTCACATCTGCCTATTATAGTTCTGTTATGCACACTTCCAGTCGTCACGTCACACACAGCCCATTCCTAACGATTAATCGTTAAGCAAAAAATCATTTTGTTATTCGCCAATTTAAGTGATGACGACCAATCGTAAACCATTTCTAAATAGAACTCCTCGAAAACGATCACCCATTATCTCTTCAAATTTAATCATCTCCTAAAATGGTTGCTGCAGAGGTAATAAATGATAAGATGATCGTGTCACCAACAAGTTACGGCTAACAGTTAACTGCTGAAGTGTTGATGGAAGAGAGTGTAGTATGAATGCAGGTGCTTAAAGTCAATGCATATATGTAAGCGTAGTGATTCAGCATCCGAAAACATACCGATCAGACGAATCACTTAAGATTGATGCGATGATCTAGTAACATAAGCAATGCGATCCGCTCCGTTCTGATCGATTATGAACAAAATACGTACTTATGATGAATATGACGTGAGAATAGAAAAGGTATGAATATGATTGATACACATTTATGTACATTATATTGTGCATTCATTCACTCATTCTTTCTTATCTTAACATATGACGTATACCAGTCGGACGAATCACATTACGAAAAACAGGTAGGAAAAATTGACGTATGGCAAAAACGACCTTAAATGCTCAGCTGGTTGGTAAATTTCGAACGTTGTACGAGAAAATGATGTTGAGAGAAGACGAAAAAGAGGGTGCAATATGAAAGAAAATAGTTGAGAAATGAACGAGACATTGAGATGGTTCAGCGTTCAAGCGAGTGATTGCAATCAAACGGTATCAAATCGAATCATTCGTCTTATAAAATAGACAGCTAACAAACCCTGATATATCATCATTAGATTGGTTGTTGCAATAGAAACAAACAATGGATGAAGGAAGAAATCAACTGCTGAAAGGCGATTGGTCCCAAGAACAGGTTAATGGTATGGAGGGTGAGGAGGGTAAGATAGGTGGCTAGGAAAATTCCGTACAAGTGTGAATCTAAGTGAGACAGATTAACGAATAGATCACGTGATCACAATAAAATCAAGTCAATAAATCGACCAATCAATCAATAAATCCAAAAACAGAATTCACAAATGATTTTTCATCAATAGCTTATTTCATCAATCCAAGCGTTTTATTAAACAACTGCTACTTCCAATAACTGCTGTTTATAAGATATCCATACAGGCCTCTATCAAACCAAATATGATCAATTCGGTATGAATGAATAAAATTCGCAGAAAACCTTCAACAAATAAATACTATAATAGCTATTGGAATGAATGTTGATATAACTGAAGAGCAAACACTGCTCGAAGAACGTCCATATTTATATATGAACTAAAATCACAGTGTACATTGTTGCAATAATAAGTAATAACAACAAACTGGTGCTTATGCACATGTATTAATTCAAATGAATACAGAACAAATGAAATTCAACAGGTATACGAGGAAAATATATGTGATGATCCACCACAGCGCACAAAACAGATGAACAGCAAGAAATCAATGAAGCAGCCAATCAAGTTTGTAACCAACCGACCACCAACAGTTGCTAATAGTCAGTCGGCTGGCAACAACAACAACAAAACAACGAATGTTGACACAAAACACACAAATGATCGAATACAAACGCAACCAGACAGGCACTTTCTATGATTACAACCAACATACACACAATTATATACACGAAAAGGATCACTGCATGCTGTCTGAACCGAAAGGACATGTGAACAATAACTTTTTTGACACTTCCGACCCGCTTAATCGAGCCAAATACACGTGGTGGTGTGCACATCAACGTGATAAGATTATATCAGTCACCAACAACAGCACTAACTGAAATACTTCCATATCTGAGCGTATAGGTGATCCTTAGCATGACAAAATAAGAAACAAGGAGGCACATGATGCGGTAATTCATAATTCCTCAATGATCAATTTCCATTGGCTTGAGGACGGTAAATCAAAAATTCTTGATTAACAGTAGTTAAGGTCAACAGCAAAACCAAATGTGCATATGGAAGTAGGCATCATAATAATATAGAATCATCTCACCGCATAAAATACCTTCAGAAATTTATCTACATCTCTGAGACTATGAATTTCTCTGCAACAAATACATATTTTTCTGACACTAGAAAGTGTGCTCAACCTGTTGTCATACAGATACCACTTTGCTGCTGAGCAAACCTGAGTATGTATGTACCCTGAAAATGATACTCCTGATATACACCGTGAGAAGTGCATAAGTGAGCAAAACAGAGATCAGCTACATAGAGCATTGGTCCCCTGATGCTTAATTACTCCCTTCGATGGCCTGACAAGTCGTCATTACTCCTTTCCTACTACAGTAATTTACTATCTCCACGCATAATGTCAGAACTAATTTCTCGATTACCTCCATTACTCCCATGACACCCCCAAATTACCTTAGCATGGGTAATTCCCTCCCCTCCCATTAAGCCTATGGGAACCCCTGATATCGAATATGATTCTACAATGAAGCTATTTGATATACCTTTAGAAATTGAGCTATATTTCAGGAAGCAGAAATTATTCCTCGAAAGCGTGAATAATAATCCAATTGTAAAGAATCTGTCGATGTGCAGAAACTATCGTGGTGTTGAGCAAACCTGAACATACAGTTTACTTGGCAATGGTACTCCTGACATTCCTATAGTAGTGCGTTTGTGTTTCATGTGGAGGTTAACTGGACGGAGTTGAGACATAATGATGTCGCTAGGCTATATGATATACCTTTAGAAATTTTGCTAAATCTCAGGAAGTAGCAAAATTTTCGAAAACATATATTCTATTTTACTAAGACAGAGTCTAGCAAGTCTGATGCCTTAAACAAATCATTGCGCTAATGAGTAAAGGTAACCATACAGTTTGGTGAAAAAATGATTTTTCAAGTATCTTCAGATATTTTCGATCGGCATTGAAAAGAAATTTTTTTCAACATTCCGAAATTCGATATTTCGACTGATTTTTAAAATTTTTTGGTAGGAATCCGACCGAATTCACACTTTCGGTTACCATCACCATATATGATTGATCAACATTACGATTAAATGTATGGATAGTAGCGATACGATAAATTCGCTCAAAATTTGCAAACTCCTGGAATTACTCCTCAGTGAGACTGATCATATAATTTTTATCTATGTCATGTACATCCTAAATGATGGAAACACCATCCCAAATGCTCGCAAACGTTTATTTTCCCCAATCACAAGACTGGCTTGATAGTTGGCTAAGCACTATTATGAGGAATGATTATGTGCTTGGTATAATAATTTTGAAGTGAAATAAAGTGAAGATCAGGGAAGACGCTCAATGCATTTTTTTCTTGTAGACTACGTCCGAAACAAAATTGATGATGATGACGAATGTGTATATTTGTGAAGATCGAAGTGAAACAAGTCACTAAATGTTTCCGGTATTTAAACAAACTCATACTTAGCCTCCCTCAATCCATCCACGCATCCATCCGGCCAGCACAAATAAGTTGATTGATTAATCCGTTTGGATGAATCAATTTTGGTATCTATCTAGTATGCTTGACGCATATGATGGCTATAATGATAACGATGAAATGATTAAGTTGTTTTGCATTTCCACTGCTAATGTCATTAGGTTTCTTCCTCTGACACTTTCTCAAACTTATTTCGTTCCCTTACACGCATATTGTGCCTAGATATATCTTCTTGATAGATATAAAATATTAGCATAATTTTTGCAAGCTGTTCTCTCTATTCGTTGCTATTCATTTACTAACCTAACGTTAAACCTTACCAAATATTATTCATCCAGGTACCATAAACTGAATGGACGAGAAATGAGATGTACATATAAGGCGTGTAAAATTTGAGCACAACAAAATTATGACCTTATTTTCAACATTACCGTTTCAACAATACAGTATCGTTCGTCGCTTGGTCTTTTTCTGTTCCATTATTATTGCTCACAATCTTGGTCAGTTAAACGTCCGGATTGGTCATCTATTGCCAAGTAATCCATTTGTGATTAATGAACCGCAAGTACTCAAAATGTGTGCAGAGGATTTGAAAGCTCGTGGCATTATTCCAGCAAATATTTCGTTTGGGTAACGATCTTAAATCAGATTCTCTATTTGCTCATCCAATTAACACAAGTGATTGTCGCTCTCTTGCAGACCAGTCATTTGAGATAAATGCTAGGAACTGCGACTGAATATGCAATCCGAATTTTTGAATTTTGATAATTTGAATTAGCAAAACATTTCATCATTTATCTGTATTATTCAATTCAATTGATTCGATTCTTTTTTCAAATAGAATTGATACGATGGAGTCATGCAATGACTACAGCGGTGTCGAAAATGCTGCATATTTACATTATATACGTAACGCAAATATCTATTTTGGACCTGGTTGCAATGATGGTACCATACTTTTCTATTCCTTCTTCATTTTTAATGTTATCAAGTGGTCCTTAAATCACTGTTCACTTAAATATTGAAACTACTGAAATGTTTTCACTTGTCATCACACTGCTTATTGGAACTAATTCAAGTGTTTTTCTCAATTGGTTTCAATCATGCGCCTTAAGCAATGTTTCTAATTTTCAATCAAATCCTGTTCACTGAAAATATTCGCTCTACAGAAATCCTAGTGATTGGAAAATTGGCTCCTAAATGGAACGTGCCAATAATAGCGCATACGTCTGGTGACGATGCATTGGCTGATCGATCCATCTATAGTACAATGGGTTCAGTAGCGCTTACATCGGCACCAGAAATGGCTCAAGCCATTCTGACTTTTATCGAATTGAATGCATGGAAACAGGTAGTTAATGTTTGTATTAAAATTAGTTCATTGCTCATGCATTGTAGAACTGCCTGCTCATATGATGTGTAAACCATGTTCATCTAAATCAATTTTCTTCTAGAAACTCCCCTCTGCTTTCTCTCTGTTTATCAGAAGAAACTCGGAACAAAGGAGAAGCTCTAGCAAAATTCGTATATTCTTGTATAACGCATGGCTTTTAAAGGAAATTATACATTCATACATCACGTTTTATTATAATTTTTTCTGATTACAAACAGAAGATCAAAAAATTTAACAACCGAATACGAGCGCTTCAAATGCACTGCACTGAGCATTTGCCCGTTATCGCCTCCAAAGTTCCATTTCAGGCTAAACACTTCCTAATGATAATTCACTGACTGGTATTGGGATTGAGAGACTGAGCAAAGGCCATGAGCGGGTGATACGAGATATCTGCTGTAATATCAATCGCTTTTTTGCAGTGTAAATGTCAATGTACTTCTAAGTAGTCATCAACGAATTTTGCGCTCCTCATTTACTCAACTCTTACGAACTTCGAATGACCTAAACTTCATAGAGATCGCGTGAGAATGCATTATCACCTTAGCTGTTATATGGTGATAACGAAAGAGTAAGGTAAAGAGAAGTTGGTGAAGCAGCGCGACTTTTTAGCACGTTTAAATGAAAGCAATGAACCCATTAAAGGGAATGAATAATGGATTATTCAATCGTATCTTTGATTGGCTAGCAAGCACACTACATAAACGCAAACAGTCACTTTCATCGTAATCCATTTGCACTTAATCGCATCCTTACCGTACGTTGTCCGTTCATCGCCACTCTGCTCGTCTCAGTACCCAATTCTTCGCTGTCAATCCCTCAGCATCTTCAAGATTTCACTAATCACCCGTAGAGTTGCTATCGCCCCGATCAAATATCACCGATTCACTCAATCTACAATGAAGTTGGAACAAATGGCACGAAATTGGAACTGAAATAGTCGAACATCTTGATAATATTTCCAGTTTTGATCATATGAATTCTTCGTTGATCAATGTAATTTTAATCGCCAAAAAAGTTTCAGATTTGTATTGTAAGACGTGAGAAAGATTATAAAAAGTTGAGTGTCTATTCAATCAAACATATAATTGATACCAAACAAAATGAGAACATCATCATAAACGCTGATGTGGGCCTGGATCCATATAGTTCAGTGGAGGATATTCTCAAATCAACCGTCATTTCTACACTGTCATCCAACTGCCGAAGTAAGCAATCGATCAAGTACTACACTATTCAACCTCTAACTCAGTAGTTCTCGTAGGGGATGAAATTATCCATTATGGGTAATTTGGAGGCGTCAAAGGGTAATGGAGGGGGTCCATTGTAATGGTGTTTTTTTTACTCGGCTATGTGAATGCGGTCAGTTGATGGCAACACTCTTCATTCCTCTATTTTCTGAGTATCATTAGCTTGTCAGTGCATAACAGGGTTTTCATTCGTTTTAATAGGGTTTTCATTCTTTTCCTTGCTGTTAGAATCGCTCTCATAGCTTTTATCACCAAAAGTGTTCTCTTCTGCTAATTTCTCATTCATTTCACTGAATAATTAAAGTAAAATTCTCATTCTATCAAATACACTCTATAATTGATTATTTGACTGTCGAACGTTGTCGAGCAATAATATTCGATTGCTGCATTGTTGATTTCGGCTGTCAACACTCGTCAACGTATCCAGTAAATAGTATATGCTACAGAATAAGAAATTGATTCGAGCTGTGAAGTGAAGTGATACGAAGTGAATGAGAAAAACTCATCAAGAGAACGATATTCGCATGTAATAGCTATGAGAGTGAATACAACACGTCTGAAAAGAATGAGAATCTATACAGGGAGTGAAATTACCCGTTTTGGGTAATTTGGGGGGGGGGGTCAGGGGGAGGTGTAATGCAAGGAATCGAGAAAACGTGAGAACCACTGCTCGAACTTGATGAGTGATTATCAATCAGCACTTAAATGAACACATTAAGTGTATTTCGTCAACATCTGTCATGGAATACATTTAAACTTCACGAATAATTCTTCAGTTTATTGTTTCGTTTAATTTTGTTTTTCCTTTTAGTTATCGTTTGTGAGGTCGATTTGGATATAAATGCTGCCACGAATTTCATGGTGGCCGCTCGACGAGCGCAAATGACCAACGCCGAATACGTATTCATCTTGCCATGGCTTGCCCATGTCAGCAGATAATTTTGTCCTCCTCTACTTGTCCTATCTTATCATATCCTATCCAATCCTGTCTCACCTTATCTGATCATTCATGTATTAGTTGGTTATATCCTGTTCAACCACGAATTACCACAAAATCGTGCCACCATCGTTGTTTTTAATTGCATCAAACACCAAGATATTATGCAAAATTTAATCATCATTCGAACAAAAGAGATAATTTTGATTATAGAATAACAGAGATTGCCTGATAACTGTTTGCGCAGAGCTAGCTCAGTGCTTTTTTACTAATGATTGTTTGGCTCAGTACTAATGATTATTTACTTGTTTCGTTTGCAAGCATGAAAACATGCAATATGAAAGTGCATCTTAATAAGCTCAATGTCAATGAAATAAAAATAGCTTAAATTTAGATTTTAACTAATTTTTCTCTATAGAAAGTCAACCACTTGCCATGGGAAGCGAACAATGTTAACAAAGAAGAAGTGAAAGCGTCATTCGATGGTGCTGTCACGGTGAATATTTTTTGCGTATTTTCAGTAAGAAAATTTCGCTTGCAACTGAGCTGCTGAAATGGGGTTTTTTCGAGGATTGTAGTGTTTTGTAATTATGTAGTGTTGAAGATGCCATCATCTTATAATGCAATGATTAGTTTGTTCGCTTGTTTGTATGGAACCATTTTTAGATAACAGCTCATGGTTACGACACTAAATTCGTCGAAAGATTCCAACAAAAACTCTATCAACGAACTGGCATTGTGTCTGCAACCGTAAGGCGCATCCATTCAAAGAATTTTTCTTCTTCTCGTAGATTCTGTTCTCGCTTCATCATTGACGTTGTTCTGCACTCAACTTCAACATTTTCTTCAGTACTCTTCAATGGTATACATGTCACTATACGATGCACTTTTCCTATACGGATTAGCGCTACGTGATGCACTTGAGGAAACAGGACGAACGGATGTGGCTTGGAACGGTAAGATGATCTGGCAAAAAATGACGAATCGACAGTTCATTGGTTGGTTACGTGTAAATATGCATTTACGAGAGTTGCACTTCTTTCCCATTAAAAAAAAAAAACATTATATTTGCATATAAAAGCTTGTATTCGTTAGATGGAATATTCTTCATCGTTGAAATTCAAATGGATTTAAAGGAATGACCGGACAGGTACTGATCAACAGTAATGCGCTGCGTGTACCAAACTATGCCACTTATTTTATCAAAAACGGAACAAGGACAATTGTTGTCGAGCTGGAGGCTACGCTTGCATCCAGTTGTCAAAATAAACTTTTAACAAATTGCACAAGTGAACATGTGAGTTTGCAGAATTACTCTTCAAATTCCTAGTCCTACAGTAACACATTACTAATCAACTTAGAGATCACATTTATAGACAGACTTTCGCAGTGTAATGAAGTTGCTCAGCAGTATACCAATCTCTTAGAAATTTAAATGTATCTCTGGAACCAGACATAATTCTTCAGCAATTTATATACAATTTTGATAGTAAAAGGTCTGCCCAATCTGATGATGTACAGAAACTATTTTACTACTGATTGTGAGCAAAACTGGGCATAGAGAAAGCTTGGCTGTGTATCTCATGATACTGCAATACTGAAAAGATACCTTTTCAAAAACTTCTAGATTCCTGGAACAAAGCATTTTCCTTTCAAAACACTACACTTTTCTTCTAACTCAGGACTCTTTCAACCTGAATTATTCAAAAAATTAATTCTATTGTCAATAAAAACTGAGATTTTGAGGATTTTACACTGCGTGCTTTTTTTTGCAAATGTGGTTTACATGTTGTCGTCAGCTCGTTTACAAAAATCGTACTGACGTTTTGTAGATTGAGCCTTAAGCAATGCTTAAGTTAATGTTTCAAATTATTTCCAGTGGTCATTTCTTCATCGCAGACTTCTCAAAATACCATAATTCTGTATTTTCATAAAACACTGATCGAGCCGAATCGATTGATACCAAAATTGTGGCATTAGAGGCAAAATCTTAAATTTAGTCTCTTACGGTCCAAAAAGTCGCATTTCCGATATTCTGTATTTCAGCTTAGAGTTAGCTTGTGAACTTGATCAAAATGCTATTTGCAAGCTTAATGAACCTGTTGAGATCAGTTTTTCTGTCAATTCAGGTAGCGCATGAACTGATTCAAAATTACTGGGATTCAGAAGACGGTCAACCGCCACCTGATATGCCAGAATGCGGCTATGATGGTCATCTTTGTGATCATACCATTTTAATGGTTGTCATTGGCTTCTCACTACTCCTTCTAGTTTCTGTACTGATCGGATATATTCTCTATCAGAAACTGTTAGTTGTTCAGTGGTTTCTTTCCGGAATCGATTTGTTCTTGAAAAAATTTAAATCTTTCATCTGAAGACATTAAACTCAAAACTTTTTTCATCTTACAATCATCAAAATTTATGTGTTCTCCGTATCAAACTTTCAGTAGTGTTCATCTTTAATAGAGCAATAATTTTTCTCAACATCTACCTCTTTATGTTTCCATCATTTTCGTGTTGATGATTTTGCCTTGATTGAAGTAACAATAACGTGTTCTAATCACCCGTGATGATTTCAGTATAATTCGCTCGGAGCCTCACTGATTATGAATATTAATTGTTCTTATACTTCTAGGCGCAAAATTTTTAGATTGGAACGTAGACTAAATCAAATGATATGGCGAGTACCGCGCGAGGATATTCGTTTCGCAGTCGCTCGTTCGGTAAATTATTTCAAATCTCGCAGTTATATATTTTTCAACGAGATTCACCGATTCATAATTCAGAAGTGTACATATTCATAAATTGATGCCATAGATGAACACAGTTTGGAATAAACTTTCATAAATCTCCTCTGATCGGCTGTAATTTTATTCGGCTCTCGAGTGGTGCATCACATTGGGTGTGGCCATTAAATTTGGATAAGGTTTCGAATTTCAGAAATCAGATCTGTCCCGATACACTGGTCAGAGTGGCTCATTTCTTGACAGTGATGCATCACGGAGCGTTGTTATGACAACGTTTGGTACGCAACAAGTCATCTGCAATGGGATTCGATTGGAAGCTAGAACGTACATTCAGAATCGCCATTTGACATTTGTACGAAAAGAGCTGAAACTACTTAAAGCGGTCAGTGCATTCTTTCATCATCATTGTATTTTTTTTTCATCTTATGGACACATTCAAGCGCTGCTCACACTCCTTTCATTTGCTTCCAGGATGAAAACCATATGCGAGTTTTTCGGCAAGCATTTGATTCGGGAACATTTTGAGATACCAAATCTTCAAAAATAGAGCCAATTTTCTGGTTTCGTTTCCTAAATAAAAATGTCGCATTTTTATACTCCATAGAAAAAACTGTCTTTTCAGGTGAAATTACTTGAAAATGATAATTTAAACAAATTTTACGGTATTTCCTTCAACCAGCCAAATGAATTCATCGTACTGTGGAATTACTGTCAACGTGGAAGCCTTGAGGTTTGTGCACAGCTTACTGTCATGTTTCGCTTCTCACAATTGACTTGGTTTAACGAAGGGTTCAAAAAGCTCACATCAGAAAGCAGTTGTTTTCAACATATCTGAATGTGCATAAGTTCACTTGTTCAGTTAATAAGTATAAGATTTTTCTCAATGGTGATTAAATCGAAAATGTTGATTGGAAGTGGCCACATTTGTTATTAAAATGAAAATATTCTTTTACAGGACATTCTTTTCAATGAAGAACTAAAATTAGGTCGAAACTTTCAAATCTCATTTGCTAAAGATGTTGTGAAGGTGAGTGAGTGACTGATTTAACAATTTTCATTAGGCAATTTAGGGAATTCGATCATTTTGCTTAACTGTCATCTCATTTGTTGACAGTCTTCTGTTCATTCAAATACTCTTCTTCGATTTCATAAAACATTTTCAAGTCAGTTTGATCTTTAATTGAAGGGTTTGGCCCATCTTCATTCATCAGAAATTCTCGTACACGGTTACCTGTGTCTACAAAACTGCATGGTCGATTCAAACTGGAATATTCGGCTATCAAATTATGCTACTGAGGTTGCTTTCATGAACGCACGATATAACAAAACCTAATGCTTTAGCTTCTGGATTTCTTGTGCACAATTCCAACTGACTGATCTGCTTGTTTAGGTTATGATCGCTGATAAATTACGCCATCATGAAATTAGACATGCGGCTGAAGGGACTGATGATAAAGAAAACGATAATAAAGACAAACATAAATCGAAAAAACTGGAGCCGAAGGACGATGGAGATGTTCACAATGAAAGTGTCGCAATGCAAAACGAGAACCTCAAAGGTTGTGGCTATTTCGAGATGAACTAACTTCAAGCCAATTACTCTAAACTGAGCTTCACAGCTGAAATTACTGCAGTCGCTCTGTTAATCTACTAATGATGATCAATAGAGCATATAATGATCGAACGAAAATGTTGTGAATGGACTGAACATCAGTAAAATTTTGCACCAAATGATCAGAATGAAATGAAAAATGAGATGCATAAATGAACTCAAGATTTCAGAGCGAATTCAACTGGCACCAGAAGTGATACGAGAGATATTAGCCACAAAATATATCCCAGAAGGCACACAAGCGGCTGATATTTATAGTCTTGGTATGGTAATCTACCAAATACTCTACCGAGTGGAACCATTCTATGAAAGACAAATGACTAAAACAAGTACGTTGGCTATTCGTTTCCACTGATTCTTCACGATAAAAGATGCATTGAGTATGTGCAACATCAGTGAATGGTGAATGTAAAAAGTGTGTGCACTTCAGTAATACTCGAAAAGATTGCAAATGCGAATGAAGAAGAAGCGTTCATGCGTCCAACATTCCCGAATGACGGTGGCTACAATATGCAGTTGTTGTCTGCGATTGAAGCGTGCTGGCTAGAAGCACCTGAATCTCGACCGAATATCAAAAAAATCAAAGCGATTGTTCGCTCAAATTTAAAATCATGGTCTGTCGACTCTATTATAAGTTTCGCAATACTAATAATAATAGCAAATCTCTTGACCTTCAAATACATGTCATCATTCTTTTTTGCCAATCATTAATTCTTGTCGGACGAAGCATCTTTAATTCACATGATTATCATTCATATCTTCAACTCTTAACTAAGAAATGCTATAATCCCCTCACATATGAACATTAGGATAAAAACTAACAACATTCATCTGCTCATATGTATTCATTATGCTTGGAAATCCCAATCATTTTCCATTCGCGAGATTGGAATTGATTCTTGGGATCGCTATTCAATCCCGGGATTGAAAGGCGATAAAACAAAGCAACAGTGATGACGGAAGATGAAGCAAGAGTGATGATATTAAGAAGCTCTCGCTTATACTTTATGAAAAACGAAAGCTGAGATGGCACTGATTAGTCATCTAATGATTTATCCATTTGTCGCCGCTTGGGTGGTAAACAACAAATATTACTGACTGTGAATGAAGTGGAATGGTTGGCTGATGCGTAATTGCAGATCGATGTATAAATAACGAAAATTATTAAGTGTTTTATCATATCTCAAAATCGTCGCATTTTTCAAGACACAATACCAGGATGCGATTCAATTGTCTGGATACCTGTATTCATACATTAGTTTAATTCAAGTAAACGCGCTGTGTTTCCATTGAAATGCTGGATTGTCCCAGGATTTCATTGAATCTGGCGATCATGATGATAATAACAATAATAATAATAATAATAATAATAATAATAATAATAATAATAATAATAATAATAATAA